TACTCCACTCTAGAGAGCACTAGCGTCTTGAAGAGTATCATCATCGGTACAGCATCTCTAGTGTGAAAGGTTCTTGTTATCCAACCTGTCATTTTTCTTGCAGTTGTGACGGCTACTTTATTGTGTAAATTTTACACAATAATTTACTTAATAAGTACTACAGTACTTATTTTATGTCTATTACATTTAAGGATTTGGGTGTACTCATGTCGGAAGACCTTACCTTCAAAGAACACAATAAAGTAGCCGTCACAATTGCAAGAAAAATGACAGGTTGGATAACAAGAACCTTTCACACTAGAGATGCTGTACCGATGATGATACTCTTCAAGACGCTAGTGCTCTCTAGAGTGGAGTACTGCTGCACAATGACAGCCCGTTTCAAAGCTGGAGAAATTGCTGACCTGGAGAGCGTGCAGAGATACCTTTACTGCTAGAATCCACTCAGTAAAACATCTAAATTACTGGGACTGACTAAAGAACCTAAATCTGTATTCTCTTGAGTGCAGGCGGGAGAGATACATAATAATTTATTTGTGGAAAATATTAGAGGGGCTGGTCCCAAACCTGCACACAGAAATAACATCACATGAGACCAGGAGGCATGGCAGGATGTGCAGAATACCCCCGTTGAAGAACAGGTGCAACAGGTACTCCGAAAGAGAGAACTATCAACATTAGAGGCCCGAGACTGTTCAACATGCTTCCACTACACATAAGGGGCATAACTGGCCAACCCCTCGCAGTGTTCAAGAGAGAACTTGCTAAGCACCTTCAAAGAATACCTGATCAACCAGGCTGTGATTCGTATGTCAGGCTGCGAGCAGCCGCATCCAACAGTCTGGTTGACCAGTCCAGCAACCAGGAGGCCTGGTCGACGACCGGGCCGCGAGGACGCTAAGCCCCGGATGTTTCTTTTAAATTTTTATTAAATCCTTATTTTGTTTAAACCTTGAGGTTAAAAACAAAATGCAATAAATCTGCTATTGCTAATACTGTATAATGTGACTGCAAATTAATGTGTAATACTGTATAGCGAATGCATGAGTATTTTCTCCCCATACAGTACCATTGTCTTTGTTCTCCAGGCAAATGGATTATTTGTTAATAATGATCATGATGACAAGAATATTTATTAAATGATAATCTTGATTGAAAAACTATAGAGTGCATTATAGCCACCAGACCACAGAACTAAGGTGGGAAAACTTGCTCCAAAGTGATAAGTCACAACTTTTGTAAAATGTGACAGATTTTTATCCTGCATGATACTTATTTTTAGACCTTTGAAATTGAAATGCCTTTTATTTTAATTATGGTTATCTATCTTGAGGTTATCTTGAGATGATTTCGGGGCTAAGTGTCCCCGCGGCCCGGTCCTTGAAAAGGCCTCCACCCTTCATGAAGCAACCAGTAGCAGCTGTCTTAACTCCCAGGTTAGCATTTACTGCTAGGTAACAGGGGCATCAGGGTGAAAGAAACATTTTGCCCATTTGTCTCCGCCTCCACCGGGAATCGAACTAGGACTATGAATCCGAAGTGCTGTCCACCCAGCGGTCAGGCGCCCCTGAAAATATGGAATTATGGGAATTATTTAAGTACATGAAAATTCACAGAAAATAAGTTGGATTCAAAGAAATCCAGAAGTTAGAGAGGGTTACATTGAGGATTCCCTGCCATGGGAAACAGAGACCTCTTTTGTTGCATATGACATGAATATTTATTGACAGGCAAATGGGTTCCTTCAGTTATTATAAATACTGTACTGACATTTGGACAAAATCAGTTTTATATAATGTTTGATACTAAATTTTATTTTTATTTCATAGTGGTGTAGAGTCTGCTGGTGAAATTCTGTCAGAGCTGCAACTGTTGTGTAATAGCAGCAGTAACATTGACACTAAACACGACGATGGCAGCAGCACCACTAATAACAACAACAGCAGCAGCAGCAGCAGCAGCAGTGTTTCCAACAAGCCAGCTGCACCTGCAGCAGTTGCTGCTCCTCTAGTGTTGAACACCACACCAGCCGTACCACTTCCCAAGCTGGACACACAACCGAAGGCAAGTTTAATATAACTCTCCTCTTACAATCTGATTGTGCAAATCATTACTGTTATTATAGTACTGTGAATTTTTATCACAGTAATGAATGAAAGAGAAGATTAATTTTCCTGTATAATATTTATTTGATGTAGACTTTTGTTTAGAAATTTTAAGGTACTGTACTGAAGAATAAATGCTGGAAGAATTTGCTAATACTGTGTACCTTTAATACAGTGGAACCTCGAGTGACACGCAACTCCATTTGTGAGCATATCAGGTAACAAGCGAGCCACTCGCAGAAAATTTGTCTCGATTAACGAGAAAAACCACATGGTGCTTCCTAGCGTTCCCGCTGGTTCTCACAAATTCTCAGACACCTCCGACTGTGCAAATCAATGATTTTTTTTTAAAGATGCTAATGATGCTGGGATGTAAAGGGGGTGACTGCTGTAATATTGCAAATTTTAGCACTGAATTTTTTTTATACAAATTAAAAAAAATATTAAACAAATTTGAAAAAAGAAAAAAATGTCATAAAGGTTCATTCAGTGTATGTCAGGTAGGCTGCTCTATTATTTAAAAAATCGAATATCATATTGATGTTTTTCGGTGGTGGAACGGATTAATTTTATGTCCATTATTTAAAATGGGGAAATTCATTTCGAAAGACGAGCGTTTTCACGTGACGAGCTCAATGCTGTTTAACACTTTCGCGCTTTAGATTAGAGATAACTCGTCGCCGTTTTCTCTTACGATTCCGCATAACAGCCGAGTTTTCTCGTCCATCGAAAAAATATTTTTATAAATTCCATTTTTTAACCGAAATGGATGGGGATACTTTTGTTTTGTAGGGAATTTATTTGCGAATGTTTTGGTACCAGAATGAATATTATATCACATAAACTTCTATGAGTAAAAAAAAAAATACACAAAGTATGTTTGGGGGTGTGGCGAGCGTGTGGCAGTGGGTTCCCTTTAGCCGTTGATATATCCAACACGTGGGAAATATTTGTATGTGTTATGTATATGTCTGTGTAGGGAATTTTACTGCGATCACTGTCATACAAATTATAAAATGTTTCAACAAGTATAAACATGACAAACATCAAACGAACGAAAACAATGCGTTCGTTTCTGCCGCGAACGCATACTGAGCGACGTGGTTCTATATTTGGCGCTTCTCTTACACATGCTTTGTACAAATGTTATACAGTTCATCTTATAGAAAATTTTATTGCGAACACATTGGTATAAAAAAGAAATACGTACATAGAAAAGTAGGGTCAGGAAACGTATAAACTTTCCAAGCATGATTTCCCCCCTGTGTTTTCGCCAGTGCGCTCGCGGCTAACTACTCTCCACTTCACACACTCTTGCGGGTGGGCAATTACCTATATTAAACATTCATATGCATATGTCCGTGTAGAGAATTTTATTGCGATTCCAATGATACCAAAATTAGCGATGTAGGACAACTGTAGGCTTCGCAACCATTAAGAGAGTGGAAACATTTTGTTGCTGTTTGGCGCTCTCGGCGAGTGATCTGCATAGTTTTTTATTTGGTGTTGATACTCCTTATGCTTGGGCGGCATTTTATAGGTATGCTCTTATAGACAATTTCATTGCGAACACAGTGATACCAAATTTAAATACGTGCGCCTTCAATTATTGTCAGGACAGTCAAAAGAGTGTACACTTTTCGGTCTTACCGCGTAGGCGCGCGAAGTGCCGAAAGCATCTGGGGTATTGTTTTTTTTTGAGCGCCGAGAGCGCGAAAGTGTTAACGCATGAAATCAAGTGTTCCCACAAAATTATTTTTTCTTTGTAAAACAATAAATTTCCTTTCCTGAACATGTTTATATAAAAATATATATTTTTTCTTTGTAAAACAATAAATTTCCTTTCCTGAACATGTTTATATAAAAATATAAACCAAATTCCACTTACTTTGTCTGTGGGGACGTGGACAAGGTGCGCTGTGACGTCATCAGGGGCTGGTCGCCCGTGCGTGAAGCTTCCATACACGGTCGTGTGGGCCATTCAAGCACCGCGTGTTGCCACAAATATATTTTCAGTTATTTGTTCTATGTATTTCCAATGCTCAACCAGTTTAAGATGAAAACTAAGTACTACCTAATTAACTCCATGTAATCTACCTTACTTCTAAATGTCAACCCATGTCTTACTATTTAAAAAAAAAAAAATGCTGTTTGTTGACCAACTTGTATATTTTGGCTATTTTCTACCGTGTTCTCCCCTTTTTTTTATCTTATTTTTTTTTTTTATTCAACACAATTTATTCTTTAAGCTCAATTACTATTAAGTTTTAGTCTAAGTATTTTTAGTCTACCCCACCTCTCCTTGCCTGAAACGCTATGCGTACTAATGGCTTTAGGTACTGTATGTTCTACCTCTATCTTTAAATCTAACAAGATGTTTGTACTGTAATGCTGCAACTATGTATGTACTGTTCCTAAATAAATTATTATTATTAAATAAATTGCAGATAGCATAGGATTGCAAGGGTCACGCTCAGAGCTACAACTGGATACGCTCCCTGTATCGTCCTCATAGGTGCTGTATCACTTGCATCCGACCTTTGTGTTAGGTCCCTAATTGTGCCTAGCTTCACTAATATTATGACCCTTATGTTCTTCAATCAATATGGTTTGAATTTCACTGACAGAGCGTTATTTTTCAACACTGTGTCAGACAGGTGTTTGGGAGCCAGAGGCGCATGTGCCACCCATGGTTGCTCACTCGGTACTAACCCAGCCAGCAGCCCTAGGGCATTCTGGGAATTTTTTCAAAGATGGCTGCCTCTCACTGGAGGTCCTAGAGTCCATTTCGTACACAACCATCTGCGCACACATTTTGATTGGGTACGAAAAAATAGTTTTCTCGGTTGGTGCAGTCCAGTGGTTAATGCCTTTCCACAATTTGCAGGTTGTGTGGCCTATTTTTTCCTATTCCATATAGCAGATGAAATTCAATGTGAATAAATGTCAAGTGATGCTCCACACACTTATTGTCTTGGGTCATCTTCAAGAGCATCAGAATTGTTTAAATCTTTTATATTCCCCTAGTAGCTTAGTATCATCAGCAAATATGTTCATATACTTCTGTATTCCTTTTGGTACATTGTATATATAGACAGTGATCATTACTGGTGCAAGAACTGAATCCTCGGGTATGTGACTGATAACACTTCTCCAGTTTGATGCATTGCCTCTGATTAACTAATAAAAAGAAGTGAGTGGTAAACAAAAAAATTCTTCCATGTCAGCAGTCTGCCTGTCACCCCTCCAGCAAGTTCCACTGTCCTAGGGAAAGAAAACTTTTTTTTTAAATGTGAAACTTTTTATAATAAAACATTGTTTTCAGGTTGAGGAACGAAAGAGTAGCACAGGTGTAAGAGTGAACCCAGCACCACCTCCAGTTGCAGCCACCTTCAAGATCTTTACTCCTCGTACAGATGACATGACCAAAGGATACCTTATGTTCTCTGATAATGACCCACATTACACAGGTAGGAAAGAAATGCTTTTCTTTCAAAAGGTTTTGTTAATGAAGTATATATGCATATGATGTGCACATTAAATGTTTGCCATTTTAATGATTTACTTATTGCACACCATGCAAGTTAAATGTAGACATTATTGAGACACTACCTTGGAGATTTTAGCTTAAGTTTTGCCTTCAAGTTAACCCGATGAACTGATACAACATACTCTACTTATGAGGCACCTCTTGTATTCCAGAAAACCATGAGCATTATTTAATTCTCTATGTGAATTAAATTTTAGTCAGTAAACAAGATTAATATTTTAGTGAGTAGTCCTTTTTCTGGGTCCATATTATATGGGACAATTCAATTCTACTTAGGGTGCATCATCCTAAAAAAAATACAACTATTTTTTACTTATATTATAAATTATTTGATTTACAGTGCTGAAAGAAGAGCCCGAGGACCTCACCCACTTGGCACCCTCAGTTGGTGATACATGTGTGCCTCTTCTAGAGGTTCCTTCCCTAATTCCCGACCACGACCACACCTGTATGCTACAGGAGGTCTCTACACTAATCCCTGAACTGGACGATATGTTCACCCTTGACTATCACATGCCCATTACTAGTTCTGATGTATTAATCACAACAAGTCCTGATAGCAGTGAAGATCGAGAAGAAGCTCAAAAATACCTGTATGATGAAAGTAAACTAATCAGTGGTATCAAGTGCATGAACAGGTAATGCAATTCATTTTTTTTTTTTTTTGCCTATTGGAAACCTTTTCAAGGATTCAGCTTGCTATTTTTCTTTTCACTTCACATTTTATATAAGGCACAGTGTTTAAATAGAAAAAATTAACTAACTTATCCGAGAGTAATTTTGTCATATAATACAAACTTTACCAAAGACAATATACTGAACATTGCTTCACCCAAGAAGATGGTAGCATTGATAACTACAAAACATGCAATGTAAACCTGTAATGATAGGGGGCTTAACACTTTCTCTTTATGCTGGAGTATTGTCATGTACGAATGTCACCTCACTTGCCTATTGTAGCTTATGAGCAAGAAAATATACACTAGAGTGATCAGGTTTAGGTGTAGACATGCAACCACCACTATACAAAAACAGCCCTATAGTCGTCAGAAATAAATAATTTTTAATTTAAAAATATTGTATAATACTAGCATTGATTAACCCTTAACATGCTCGGGGTCTAATATCCTGCTATCCACACAGGCGCATGTCATTTTGAAAAAAAAAAAAATTTTTTTTTTTTGCTAATCTGTTAAGTTCTGTTCACTGATCACGGGAAAAATAAAAAAAAAATTCTATTGTACTTACTTTTGTTGCAATAGAGCCGAGAAGCTCTGCAATGACGTCACAATCTGCATGGTCGCTCATGCAGTACACGCCCGGGAGATGTTGCGCGCGGTCCTCAAACAGCCAGAGTTGCCACAAATATATTTTCGCGCTATTTATTTACAATGTCTAAGCGCATTTTATCTAATTTTTTTTCACTAATTGTGTTTCAAATACTGTTTGAACATATTTTGTATCAATAATTGTTGCATATTTGAGTATACACAGGCGCACACAAATGTTTTCAATTACGGCAATATAATATGTCATTACAGTCTATTATATTATATGTTCTGCTTATATGTTTACATATTTACACACTCGCACACGCTATACACACTTTGAAGCACACTTAGAAGATTTCTAGACTGTGGTAGTCATTGAAGCAGTCGACAGCACATAATGGGATACCACACGTTTCACACCATGTTTGCACAAGCTTCCGTTTCTTGTCTCTACGTGTCGTTGTTTTACACACCAAGCAATCACGTTGGGCTATTGCACGCTTCACACCAGGTGGCAAATACTTAAGTTTGTGTGCTAGGAAGCCTTCAGTGTGAGCGAGGCGTGGAGTACCAGCATGCTGCAACAGTGGGTTTATGATGGGCCGCTGAATACCTGGGACATCTTTTGCAAACTTTCCTAATAACTGTATTGCAGCATCAAATACAAAGTCACGGAAAGTGGGCTTACGTCCAGTTCTCACAAGGTACATGTTGAAACAGTTCAGCATGCTCATGTCCACAAGATGGAAGAACACTTTTTTCGTCCACCTACATGTCTTCCGCACACACTCTGCAGTGCCAATCATCATGTCTGATTTATCAATCAACCGCATGTTGATATTATAGTCTAAAACACAGTCTGGCTTATATAGTGGTGCGTTTGTTTTATGGCTCACTTTCCCACTGTTCACCATTGTTCCATCATGAATTGTTGTCAACAAGTTCACCTCTCTTTTGTCTTTCCACCGAACTGACAGAATGTTATCACTTTTCCTTCTCTGACACTCACCAACTGCAATGTCGTTGTCAAACACAGGCATTTCCCTTCGTTGTGGCTTTACTGTACCAACCAATCCGGTTCTATTTTCTAGCAAGAACCGAGCTAGCAAGGGACTTGTATAGTAATTATCTGTGTATAAAATGTGTCCCTTGTTCATCCACGGAGCCATGATGGTCTTCACTACACTCCCCGAGAATCCATGTTCGTCGTTACCGGGAATGTCTACATCACTAGCCGAGTACAGAATCATGTGTAACACGTATCCTGTCTCACAATCACAAAGAACAAAAAATTTCAGGCCAAATCGGTTTCGTTTTGAGGGAATGTACTGTTTGAATGGAACACGTCCCTTGAAAAGTATGAGAGATTCATCAACCACCAGCTTCTGTGCTGGTACGTAAAAATCTCTGAATTTTCCAATAACATCGTTCATGTAGTGCCTCACTCGCCACAGTCTATCATCAGGTGTTCGGTCCTGAACACTTCCAAAATGTAGACACCTGAGGAGTATCTGAAACCTGTCTCGTGACATATATTTCCCGAATAAAGGTGTTGGTATTGTCTTGTCCTTGCTCCAATAGTCATTTATTGCATGTTTGTGACAGTGCTTCATCAACAAACAGAGTGCCAAAAACACATACATTTCCGCCACTGTGGTATTTTTCCAACGCTGCAGTCGTGAAAATTCTGTGATTTCCCTCTCAATCAGGTAAGCAGCATGCAGGTTCGTTTGGTGTACAATGTATTCCATGAGTGGTTCATCATAGAATGCTGTAAAATATTCCATCTCAGCCATGTCCTCACCTTGATTAGGGAAAAGGTTTGTAATCCCTACATCTTTATCGTCAAAGTGAGGAATATTAGGAATAAAATCGTCACCATCACTCCACTCAAGTACACCAGGCGTCCTGCGAGATGCAGAGGAAAGACGGCGAGGAAGCGATGCATACCGGCGACCAGGAGCTGAATACCGTCTGCGAGAAGCACGGCGGCTACGTGCACGTGAGGTGGGTGCACGTGAACACGAGGGTCTTGGTGCCTCATGTGGTGCCATGCGGTGGCGCTTGGCTGGGCGAGATGCTGCTGACGCGACAATTTCTCGCTCAGTTACACCACTGGTACCAGCCACAGGCTCAATAAAACTTTGATCTGAGTCACTAAACCCAGAAAAGGAGTCACCTCCCTCTGACTCGTCACCCTCAAACAGAAAATATCCACAGGAACTGTGAGGTCGTGGTAGAATTGGGGTAGAAAATGGGCGAGGAGGCATGGGAGAGCGTATAGGCCTCGCCATGGCATGGCGGTCATTCTCACTTTCACTGCTGCTGCTACTATCTCCCGACAACTGTGTATAATCCTCATCGTTGTCTGAATCGTCAAACACACTTTCTTCACCTTCAGAGAATAATTCGTGGGCTATTTGCTCTGGGGTGAGGGACTGAGTGATGCGTGCTCGTGAGGCGTTTGACCGTGCGCTCGCCATGGTGACTCTCGCTAAACTGAGGCCTCCCATGCCATCGGAGCGTGAGCTGGATTTTTTTTCAAAATGGCCGCTGTTTACTAGAGCCCCTGGGCAGCGTATGGGACCCCCAGCTACACCGCGGGCCATTCAAATCGTGCGCGGTAGCCATACACTTCATATGAAGTGAAGCGCAGTTGACTGGTAAAACGATTTACACTTCATATGAAGTGATGCGCACTTTAAGGGTTAACCCTTTTAACTGCACAATGCGCCTGCAGGCCCATGTCTGGGGTGCGCTATGCGCCTCCGGTTATTTGTATTTTTCACGTTCCATTCAAAACTCCAGCGGCTACATGGGGTTCACATCAGCTTCCTCAGGGCTCTTGTAAACAGATGCCATCTTTAAAAAAAATCATGCTCCACATTTCCAGGTGAGAGAGCCTCAGTAGTGAGTGAGCAACCAAGGCTGGCGCTCGCAGCATGAGCGCACAGCACTGCTGTTCAGCGTGTGACCACAGCATCGCCTAATAATGTCAAAATATATACTGTATATAATCTGTATTATTTAGCCATGATAGTATTATAGAAGAGCCTGAGTGTGATAATGACTGGGTACAATGTTCAAATATCAGTGATTCAATGCTGTTCACGATGTTCACAGCGCTAGCCACAGCACCACAGCATTATTTCGTCCATCTAGGAATCTTCAAACGACTTTTAAGGTTCCTTTTCAAAATAAACTTTTGGTCAATTATTCATTTACAGGAATTAGTGACCAGGATTGTGGTTATAATTAGCGTTGTGCATAGTATTGTGGAAGGAGGAATTTTAGTGAGGAAGGGAGAGAATTGAGGTAGCTTCACTATGTGTGGCAGCCACTCTTGTTTTGCTCACCATACGAGCTTCGTGGTTCGCTACAGGGAATACATATGTACATGGGTATATACAGTGTGTGTGTGTGTATATAGTGTAATAACAGAATCAAGAGTATGTTGAGAGGAACTATTTTGGTGAGGGAGATGACGACGTAATCGTAGCGTCATCTGCTGTCTGCTGTGTGATTTCTCATGCAGTGTATGGTGGTCACTGAACTGTTTGGACACAGTACTGGCTTACTTGCATAGTTCTGGTAAATAAAACATATAGATAGGTATATATAATATGTGTAAATAGTGTAATAAAAACAATAACAGTATGGTGGGAAGAGCAATGTTGGCGAGTAAGATGTTGGAGTGAGGGAGACTGGCTGGGTGTGGCTGCTCACACTCACGGTGTTCTGAATGTGTTGATGGTGAATGTATATAGTGTGTAAATATGTTGTAAATATACATAAATGAACATGGAACATTGGTGTGAAAAACTGTATGATAGGAGGAGCAAGTTGACCAGACCACACACTAGAAATTGAAGGGACGACGACGTTTCGGTCCGTCCTGGACCATTCTCAAGTCGATTGTCTCTCAATCGACTTGAGAATGGTCCAGGACATTCTCAAGACAATCGACTCAATCGTCCAGGACGGACCGAAACGTCGTCCCTTCAATTTCTAGTGTGTGGTTTGGTCAACATACTTCAGCCACGTTATTGTGACTCATCGCCTGCATAGGAGAAGCAATGTTGGTGAATACAATGTTGGAGGAGTGAGGGAGGGCTGGCTGGGTGTGGCAGCTCACACTCGCGGTGTTCTGAATGTGTTGATGGTGAAAGTATATAGGGTGTGACAGTGTATAGTCTGTAAACAGATTGTATATATATATACATAAATTAGCATGATACATGGTAAATATGTGCAACGTATGTGTACATAAATGTCATGCACGTAACAGTGTCCTCGGACAGTACGGATGTTTTACTGCCATAATATAGTGTACATGTTCATTATACATAGGATTAGCACATAAAAACAAATAAAATGTATTTGGAACCGTGCGCAAAAAATTAACAAAAATATATTCGCGGCAACTCGCGTGCCCCGCCCCGGGCGCCCTACTGGCCCCCCTACTGGCCCCGGGAGCATACGTCACGGGCGAACGGAGAATGATGACATCACACGCCAACTTACGGATCCCATAGCAGCAAAATGCGTACAAGTTTGATTTTTTTTTTTTTACATACCCATACTGAGGGAAGGGTTTTTGACACTTTTTTTTTTTTTTTTTTAGATAATTTATTTCCTGCACACTGGGAAGGGGGGGGGGGGAGGTGTCATATTTAGAGGCGGCGCAGTTAAAGGGTTAAGGGTTAAAATGACTTCCAGCACACCCCTCCCCCCTCTCAGATTTGACTAACATTTCAGGATGGACAAAAATGTTGTCACTTTCCTTTTATTTCATGAGTGGGCTGGGTTAATTGCATGAAAGTTATTATAAAAATATTTAAAAATTTTATATACAGTACTGTATATGCTGTATACTGTTCTATGATTGTAAGGCATATAATTGAATAGCATTGTGTTTATTTTATAATTTTAAAATTTTTATGCTTTAGTTTAAGTGGAGGAAAGATACTGATAGACAAGAGTGGTTGCTGTACGCCATCGTCGGACTGTGGAGTGAGCTCCCCAGAACCCCCAAAACCTCTTCTAAGTCAAGCTGCATTATCCCCAATACGGGAAAGGAAACAAAATACGGTATGTAAATGTATTATATACATGGCTATTGTGTTTTTGTAGGAAACCAGGTGATAAATGATTAAAAGAACAATAACTACAGTACTGTGTTCAGAGCTGCAATTCTCATTCGGTAATTTTCTGGGGGGAGCCCCTTCGGCTCCCCGGAGCTATCTGGGGTGATATGAATGAATGTATTAGACCTTGGCATCAGTCAAGCGAATGGAGTTCTTAGGTCTATTGGGGACCACAAGCCAGAACCTGGCCCCCACAAGGAGGCTCGGACTCGGACCAGATATGAGGCCGCACTTCATAAACAGGATGAGTGACTGGTTCACGGAATTCCAAATCCCAGAAGACATTGACACATTTGCTGATGACCTTAATCACCAAATTGAGAGCTGTTTAAGAGTTCTGCGCCGTATGCCTGGGTGAAGTAACCCTCAGAGGAAGAAAATAAAATGGTATGAGAATGATTACACAAAGATGCTTAACGCAAATGTACGAGACACGAGTAGAGAGTACCGGAGACATCCCACTGAAAGTAACCAAGAGTTGTTTAAAACTGTGTGTCAAGTAGCCAGGGAAGAGAAGATTAAAGAGCGGGAAAGACAATGGCTTGAGTTCACTAGCTCTATTGGATGGGAAACATCTGCAAGACAAGTGTGGGCAAAAATTCAGATAGCTAAGGGGGGCAGAGCCCGGCCTGCAGCTCACAAAGACCCCCAGGGTAAGCCTGAGGAACTAATTCACAAGTGGAGTGATGCAACATCCTCCTCCTCCCTCCCTGCAGAAATCAGCAGGGAACAGCTCCTGCGACATGATGACAGAAGGATTAGGATAACACGAGCACTGTCTAGTGATGACGAATATGGGGAACCAATCACAGCCCAAGAAGTAAGGGGCGCTATGAAAAAGGGTAAATGTACTGCACCTGGTGAAGATGGCGTCACCTACGACATACTCAATGCACTGTGTGAAGTGTCTGGGAATCCACTACTCCTCCTGTTTAACAAGTCATTCCTAAGTGGAGTGTTGCCCACACAATGGAAACACCCAATAATTGTTCCCAAACCGAAGCCCAATGACCCTGGTAATTACAGACCTATCAGTCTCGTGTCATGCACTTGCAAGATGTGGATGGATGGATGGATGGTGAGGGGACTTGATGCATGCCTAAGGAAATAGCCTGCTCAGAAAGCACTTTCATTTATAGTAAAAAATCATTCTTCATAATTTGAGCCCAAAAATTATGAACGAGATAAAGTATTTTTTTATAGTTTTTAAATGTATTACTGTACTAGAAATATTTTTACATATTCACAATTTGTAGACCATCACTTTCTCCTTTAAACTGTAGGTTTTGTGTGGGGGCAGCCATCCCAGAACATCAACAGAGAGCCTCTTCACACACTTGGATGAGATCCGCACACCGGGCTCATCAGAGTCATTTGGCAAACTGGATCTCAAAGTATGAAGGACTTTTTCTTCACTTATGCAGTTATCTCTTGATATCTTTGACTAACCTAATATTACAAATTATAGAACTTACTACTGCATTGCAAAACAAAACATTTTCTTTAACTATGTACAAGCATACTGAAATTTATTAGTGCATCTCATCCTGTGTTTTCAATATTTATAACTACAACATTGCTTTGATTCATTTTCATTTAGCTTGAAGAACGGAACATGGACTCAGATGAGTTTGAGATGAGAGCTCCATACATTCCTCTCAGTAATGAGATGTTGATGCTGAGCCCTGATGACTTTCTGTGGGGAGCAGAGCCTGAGCCACTTATATCGCCGAAACACTCTGCATCATCCAGCCGGTCAGCTCCACAATAAGGGTTTTCCACAATTGATGGCCATTTAATTCATAGCCATTATGCATGTAACAATATACTGTAATAGTATATGTAACACTATGCAAATAGGTATGCTTGCTATACTATTTATAGTATAGCAAGCATACCTATTATGCATAGTGTTACATATGCATAATAGGTATACTTACTATATATCTAGGTATACTTTGCATGTAAACTCGGCTCCCCCGAACATTTATGACTACATTGCAGTACTGTACTTAAATCTGTACTTATCTGTATAAAAAAACTAAGGTTGAAATCCCTTAATATTAAAGTACCAAGTTAATTATAATTACAGGTACAGTACTTGGAAGAGATTTTTCCTTAATATGAAATTATTATTAAAAGGTGTTGCTGCCTGAATGGGAGGATAGGATTTTTCTTATCAAATTAAACATTTGCATGCAAGAAGTTGGGTCAATGCAAAAACAAAACTCAGTCTTTTTCTGGTTGAGTGCACATTGGGAAGGATCCAGGTGGGGGGTCTTCTTGGCCATACAAACATTGATACACACTTTACTGATTTGTTATGTAAGAATGAAACTTCTGATGTTCAAGTTAAATTTTTTATTTTTTCCACTCCACTTTTTCCACTTTATTTTTCTCATTCCACTTTTTCCACCTGTTCCACTTGAGTTTACACTATGTTTGGAATTACTATTTATGTATACATAATTGACAAAATCAGTAATTAAGTACTGTATAATGGCCTACATTGTAATATACTGTATGCCTGCGGGCCGCTCCAACCAACAGCCTGTTGGACCAAGTTATCACAAGTAGAGCCTGAGGGGCTCAGGGAGTAGAACTCCCAGAACCCTCTCCAGGTATGCTCCAGGTATACTGTATACACCTGTATTGCATGTAAATCTTTTCCTGGTTTAGCCTGAACAAAGTTTGGTGCAGTGACACCTTTGATGACAAGTGCACATTAAGGGGTGATGATGCTGCAGAGTCATATAAAGAGATCCCTCCAGTGCCGGTGCCTAAAACATAATTCTGTTAATTCTTGAATTCGGTCTATGACACAATGTATACTTACCCTTGGGAGCAACAGGATGACATACCTTAGAAATAAACCTTGCTGCTCAACATCTAAACCAATTTCAACTGTATTATATTAATTCTCTTTAATAATCAAGTTGCTTCCTCTATTTAATGTGGTAATCCTTTCAGAGATGCAAAATGTTGTCATAGTATTATTGACAAGGATGATTCCAACTTGGCTCAGCTCCTGCGTGACACAGATCCTCACATAACTGGTAGTGGCCCAGGAAGGAACTTGCACATCGAGAATTCCACAGGTACTCGAAGTCAGTACCAGCAGAGTAAATTTCTCGATGGTGGAGGGAATTTTGTAGATCCAAACAAAGTTCTACCAGGACACTCGGGAAGTAAAGGTATATCAAAATTTTTATTTCAAAACTTGAAATTAGCACAGACCAATACCTCTATTTTATTATGAAACACTATGCTGATGCACAGTGAAATCATAAGAACATAATATATCTATGAGAAAATATTGAGGTCATAACACATTTCATGTTTATAATACTTCACATTGATTATCAATGCTATAGTGGGGTTTGGAAGCCCATTTTTTATTTTGTCTTCTTCTAATTCCATCAAAATAGGAGTAGATATACAAATGCAGTACTGCATATATTTGGTCAATTTTTTTTTTTAAACACGTGCATTGGCCTATCTGAATACTCTTTCCGATTGTCCTTCAGATCTCTGACAAAAGTTTACATTTTGAATAACTCTTCATTCTCCTATCCATTTCCTTTTAAGAGTTGCCACTTCCTCCAAGTCAACCTCTTTAGCCCTTTTGATTTCTAGTTTCCCTTAAGATATTTCCAGCCTTCCAAAATGTTGTTCTGTACTTTCATGTTACCAATCCTATGCATCACTTCTTTCTCACGCATGAGATTGAGCTACATACCTATACCAGCATTAAGAAAGCACGTGGTTCAGATGGTGTGCCTCCTCATGTACTCGATTCCCTACAGGCAAACAGTCTTGTGATATATATGATTTAGAAAAAAGTTCAACACCGGGTGACAAAAATTTTCTCAGAACTAAGTTGACTCATACCAAGATTGGTTGAGGGCCATAGGACTAACATCATTACAAACCAGATATGAAAGGGCTGATCTCATCAAATCCTTTAAAATACTGAACAATTTGGGGATATTGATCCAGACCACTTCTTTAAAATGTCAAATGGAACACACACAAGAAGCAACAGCTTCAAGCTCAACAATCCATAATGTAGGACAGAAAAGTATTCCCTGTTCTACCCATAGGGGATATAAACCCACGAAATTGCTTGCTTGTTGAAGCCATAAATGCCAAGGCATCACTGCAATTCAAACAACCTGTCCTCTTAAAAAGAACGTCGCTTTGGCCGTTTGCCCGTATGGCCAAATTTGGACGTAATTTGAAAATGAAAAAAAAATGAAAATAAATTTTGGATTTTTTTTTTTCAACAACAGTAAGTTAAGGGTCCTCTGATAGGTTAGGTGGACAGGAAATTCTCAAAGTTTCAAAACGTTATGAAAAACGTTAATTTAAAGTGTCCTCTTATGACCTCTGCGCGTACGCCGGACGACTCAAATAGAAAACGGAACAAAACGTCACTTTTGTGAGTCGATTTCATTTCAAATCACGTCCAAATTTGCCCATAGTGTGCATACGAGCCAAAAGTGACGTTATTTTTAAGAGGACGGGTTGATTCAAAACCCCAGTTGGATAAAATAATCAGGAAAATGGGTGGGACCCTTAAGTGATGTGGCGAGTTTGTGAAATTTCCTATGCACATAAAAATAAAGTGTTCCCAAAAAATTATTGTTTCTTCGTAAAATAATAAATTCCCTTGCCTGAACATGTCTATGTAAAAATAAATACCCTTAAATTACAATATGTACAGTTTCACACACTATTTACACAGTAACACACTGTATTACACACTAATATAATTGGACAGACTTGTTGCTAGGCAAGGAAGTGAATGAGATGTATGTCAGGTTTTGTGAAATATATGATAAAGGCACAAAAAAATTTATACCAAAACAGAGAAGCAGAACTAGGAAACAGGATTGGTTCAACAGAAAGTGCGAGAGGGCCAGAGACCAAAAGACACAAAAATGGAATCAATACAGGAAGAGGCCAAACCCCCAAACATACCAGCGATACAAAGATGCGAGAAACAACTACACGGCAGTGAGAAGAGAGGCAGAAAGAAATTTTGAAAAAGGGATTGCAGACAAATGCAAAACAGAACCAGGTCTGTTCTATAAATTCATAAACAACAAATTGCAGGTAAAGGATAATATTCAGAGGTTGAAAATGGGAAATAGATTCACAGAAAATGAAAAGGAAATGTGTGAAACATTAAACGAAAAGTTCCAAAGTGTGTTTGTACAAAATGAAATCTTCAGGGAACCAGATACAATAAGAATTCCAGAGAACAACATAGAGCACATAGAGGTGTCCAGAGACGAAGTGGAAAAAATGCTCAAGGAGCTAAATAAGAACAAAGCAGTTGGTCCAGATGGAGTTTCACCATGGGTTCTGAGAGAATGTGCACCTGAGCTCAGCACTCCTCTTCAACTGATTTTTCAGGCATCCCTGTATACAGGAGTTGTAGCTGATGTGTGGAAAAAGGCTAACATAGTTCCAATCTACAAAAGTGGAAGCAGGGAAGACCCCCTTAATTATAGACCAGTATCATTGACAAGTGTAATAGTCAAAATATTGGAAAAAATAATTAAAACTAAATGGGTAGAACACCTGGAGAGAAATTATATAATATCAGACAGACAGTATGGTTTTCGATCTGGAAGATCCTGTGTATCGAATTTACTCAGTTTCTATGATCGAGCAACAGAGATATTACAGGAAAGAGATGGTTGGGTTGACTGCATCTATCTGAACCTAAAAAAGGCTTTCGACAGAGTTCCACATAAGAGGTTGTTCTGGAAACTGGAAAATATTGGAGGAGTGACTGGTACGCTTCTAACATGGATGAAAAATTTTCTGACTGATAGAAAAATGAGGGCTGTGATCAGAGGCAATGTATCGGACTGGAGAAATGTCACAAGTGGAGTACCACAGGGTTCAGTTCTTGCACCAGTGATGTTTATTGTCTACATAAATGATGTACCAGTTGGTATACAGAATTATATGAACATGTTTGCTGATGATGCTAAGATAATAGGAAGGATAAGAAACTTAGATGATTGTCATGCCCTTCAAGAAGACCTGGACAAAATAAGTACATGGAGCGCCACTTGGCAAATGGAATTTAATGTTAATAAATGCCATGTTATGGAATGTGGAATAGGAGAACATAGACCCCACACAACCTATATATTATGTGAGAAATCTTTAAAGAATTCTGATAAAGAAAGAGATCTAGGGGTGGTTCTAGATAGAAAACTATCACCTGAGGACCACATAAAGAATGTTGTGCGAGGAGCCTATGCCACGCTTTCTAACTTCAGAATTGCTTTTAAATACATGGATGGCGATATACTAAAGAAATTGTTCACGACTTTTGTTAGGCCAAAGCTAGAATATGCAGCAGTTGTGTGGTGCCCATATCTTAAGAAGCACATCAACAAACTGGAAAAGGTGCAAAGACATGCTTCTAAGTGGCTCCCAGAACTGAAGGGCAAGAGCTACGAGGAGAGGTTAGAGGCATTAAATATGCCAAAACTAGAAGACAGAAGAAAAAGAGGTGATATGATCACTACATACAAAATAGTAACAGGAATTGATAAAATCGATAGGGAAGATTTCTTGAGACCTGGAACGTTAAGAACAAGAGGTCATAGATATAAACTAGCTAAACACAGATGCCGAAGAAATATAAGAAAATTCACTTTCGCAAACAGAGTGGTAGACGGTTGGAACAAGTTAGGGGAGAAGGTGGTGGAGGCCAAGACCGTCAGTAGTTTCAAAGCGTTATATGACAAAGAGTGCTGGGAAGACGGGACACCACGAGCGTAGCTCTCATCCTGTAACTACACTTAGGTAATTACACTTAGGTAATTACTAAGTACTTCGGAAGTGAGTAATAATCAACGAAGTAGTCCATGGTACACAACGCGACTTCGCTCTTGTTGCACCAGGTACAGATAGATTTTCGCTTCCTGTTTCTTTGTTCTATGTGGTTGCAAATAACGCACTCACGTACACCCTTGGATTTAGTACCTATAGGTGGCATGTAGCCAAGCATATAAAGTGTAAGGTAGTCTTGAAAAGATTATAGGAAAAGATCAATTTGTAAGATAGTCGTCAAAAGATCGTATTGTAAGGTCCAACGCAGAAAGAGATTCAGCCAGCCTCGAAGAGTGTCCGTCAATCAAGAAGAGATTCAGCTATTCTTGAAAATATCTATGGAAAACACCACCTTGGAAGCCGCTTACTCTGTTCATCTATGCTACTTATATCACCTAAGACCACATTAATTTTAGAAAAGAATGCCATGCTTTATTTTCTCAGTCAGAATCCATTATGGGAAACAAAATAACATCCTGCATTTGTAAAGGAAGAAATGAATGTGTATCACTCAGAATGTCCAGTATATGATTATTGTTTGTGATGTGTGTCTATATATATAATTAGAAATAGTATAGTGCTTTTACTATAGTTTGATTTTCTTTTTGACAGATGATTTGGAAGGATCACCAGGTAGTACATTACTAGTTGATCCGCCACCTGTGATGGTGCAAGAGACTGTTGACCCCCCACCTCCATTACTTACTGTTGATACTCACCTTGTAACTTTACCCGTCAAACGGGGACACTCCCCAAATTCATCTCCCCTCCTCAATCATAAGAAACTGTGTTCACCCTTGTGCCAGCGACAGCATCCGACCTCGCAACACCATCCTCAAGATGGAGCTGTGCCTCGCCAACTACAACCTGGAGGCGTGCGCCTCCTAGAAACGCCCAATGCTCCAACTATGCAACAATTATTGATTAGCAAGGAGCCAATCACAGTTCGAGGAGGACGTCCAGGCGGAGGCATTTCAGCCTCCCAGAATTTCATCACAAATAAGAGTCATTCAGTACTTCGCAATCTTCTGGTGAGTGGACGCGATGAGACTGCTGGCTACTCTGTGTCAGCTCCAACAAGCCCTGCTGGCACATCTTCTGGAAACTCCACTACATCCCCTAGCCCTCATCCATTGAGTGATGAGGCCATGGGGGGAAAGGTACAGGGATCACTGCACAACCTTTCAAATTCAAGCTAGTGTGTCATAAGTTGTTTGATTTGATTATTTTTTTAGAACATTTAGCACATAGTAATTTTTTTTTTTTTTTTTTTTTTTTTTTTATAGAAATATAACTATTGTATTATGCATCAATGAGTGCCATAAACGTTTTTGCATGTATCTGAAAACTGAGATATCAATTGTAAATGAGCTATCTTTAGCATGGGAGAAGCATGTTACCATCTCCAAGTTAAATGTTTGGCATGATGCCACATTCATGCATGATGTCACACTCATCAGGTTGTTGTGTTGCCTAAAGAGAATGATGCTAAATGTTCTTAAGTTACCAGTTTGTTTAATTCATCAAATATTTGTGTTTATTAGAGTAGTTATGCTTGCTGAATCTGAAGCTACCAACAGTGTTCAGTATACAGTAATTACAATATGACTTGGTGCTTGCAGTGTCCCTGTATTTTTGCATGCATTGTTTGCTTCTTATTTTACTATTAGTTTTTTCTTTTGAATTAAAACTTTTTTATTATATTAGTGTTTTGAACATGATATACAATTCCAGCTATGGTATCAATTTATTTGCATAATTGAAAATTTATTTAGATTTCTTAGGTACTTTAGTGCAGTGTGTGTGTTATGAGCACACCTCGGTGATGTACTGCACCGACATTGGTATTGTCTTGCAGAATCTTGCATCTGTGAAGTTATGTAGTTAATAAGCTATTTCTTATTTTATTTACAAATGCACACATACATTTGTATGTCAGCAAGATTAAGCAGGACACAAATACAAGGGCAGGGATGTCCCATCAAAGCTGGATGTGGTACTGTATTCATCAGAAAAGAATAATACCATTTACCTCCAGTGCCTGCCTCTGTTAACACTATCCCCAGCGCCACGTGCGCACTGCAGACATTGATGTCAATGGTGCGGGCGAGCATGCGGCAACGTCTAAATGTGTATACTCGTTTCAGTTTTCTCACCTTAATTCTCGTGCTACGATGTTCATTTTGGTATCATTGTGTTCACAATTAAATTCCCTGCAGATGTAGATGCATATAATGTCCAAAAGCCTGGCGAGACTCTCCACAGCAAAGCCTAAAGTTATCCGTGAACAAGAACCAATTTGCACACCACAACCTAATGTGTATACTAGTTCAGTTTGATAACATCAATTTTCATGTTACATCGCTTGTTTTGGTATCAAATTGTTTGCAAAATAAAGGCGCGCATTTTAAAACTAGTCCCATTATAATAGAGCAATAACTGGAATTTTAACAAATATTTTAATTTTGGACGCTCATCAAAATTAATTATATATTTCCAGTGTTCTGACATAAAATTTCATGTTACATCTCTCTTTTTGGTATCAAATTGTTCGCAATATAAAGGCGCACATTTTAAAACTAGTCCCATAATAATAGCACAATAGAATTTTAACAAATATTTTAAAATTTAAAATTTAGACCCAAAAACGTATTTATAATCTTTCAAGTGTTCTGACATAAAGTTTCGTGTTACATCTTTCATTTTTATATCAAATTGTGCGCATTTTAAAGGCGCTTATTTTGAAACTATCCCGAGGTCAATCGGATAAAAAATGAATTTTATACAAATATTTTTGTAGTGGACGCAAGTCCACTCCACAACTACGACTCGGGAGAAAAAAAATGGACGTGATCGGTGTCCAAAGCGAGCGATAGTGTTAAGTAAGAGCAATCATGTCTTATCAAATACACTTTGTGTTTTGTGGCTGTTCAAGCCTTCCTGGCATAAAGCTGTATATTTTGGAACATCATAGGGCAAGTAACATTTGGAACAACCAGCAAATTCAGAATGTATAAAACAATAATAACAAATACAAATGCTAAGCCCCAAAAATATAAGCAAATTTTTAAATGGATCCAACTAGGAAGAATTGTTACATTCTCCCTGATTAGCATCAATAAAATTTATGCAAGTTTTTACCAAAGATTTATCCAAAAACAAAGAACTAGAAAACAAGACTGGTTCAAGAGATACTACTAGATGGCCAGATGGTTCAACAGGTACTACTAGATGGCCAGATGGTTCAAGAGATACTACTAGATGGCCAGATGGTTCAACAGGTACTACTAGATGGCCAGATGGTTCAACAGATACTACTAGATGGCCAGATGGTTCAACAGATACTACTAGATGGCCAGATGGTTCAACAGATACTACTAGATGGCCAGATGGTTCAAGAGATACTACTAGATGGCCAGATGGTTCAAGAGATACTACTAGATGGCCAGATGGTTCAAGAGATACTACTAGATGGCCAGATGGTTCAACAGATACTACTAGATGGCCAGATGGTTCAACAGATACTACTAGATGGCCAGATGGTTCAACAGGTACTACTAGATGGCCAGATGGTTCAACAGATACTACTAGATGGCCAGATGGTTCAAGAGATACTACTAGATGGCCAGATGGTTCAAGAGATACTACTAGATGGCCAGATGGTTCAAGAGATACTACTAGATGGCCAGATGGTTCAAGAGATACTACTAGATGGCCAGATGGTTCAAGAGATACTACTAGATGGCCAGATGGTTCAAGAGATACTACTAGATGGCCAGATGGTTCAAGAGATACTACTAGATGGCCAGATGGTTCAACAGGTACTACTAGATGGCCAGATGGTTCAAGAGATACTACTAGATGGCCAGATGGTTCAAGAGATACTACTAGATGGCCAGATGGTTCAACAGATACTACTAGATGGCCAGATGGTTCAAGAGATACTACTAGATGGCCAGATGGTTCAAGAGATACTACTAGATGGCCAGATGGTTCAAGAGATACTACTAGATGGCCAGATGGTTCAAGAGATACTACTAGATGGCCAGATGGTTCAAGAGATACTACTAGATGGCCAGATGGTTCAAGAGATACTACTAGATGGCCAGATGGTTCAAGAGATACTACTAGATGGCCAGATGGTTCAAGAGATACTACTAGATGGCCAGATGGTTCAAGAGATACTACTAGATGGCCAGATGGTTCAAGAGATACTACTAGATGGCCGGATGGTTCAAGAGATACTACTAGATGGCCGGATGGTTCAAGAGATACTACTAGATGGCCGGATGGTTCAAGAGATACTACTAGATGGCCGGATGGTTCAAGAGATACTACTAGATGGCCGGATGGTTCAAGAGATACTACTAGATGGCCGGATGGTTCAACAGATACTACTAGATGGCCGGATGGTTCAAGAGATACTACTAGATGGCCGGATGGTTCAAGAGATACTACTAGATGGCCGGATGGTTCAACAGATACTACTAGATGGCCGGATGGTTCAACAGATACTACTAGATGGCCGGATGGTTCAACAGATACTACTAGATGGCCGGATGGTTCAACAGATACTACTAGATGGCCGGATGGTTCAACAGATACTACTAGATGGCCGGATGGTTCAACAGATACTACTAGATGGCCGGATGGTTCAACAGATACTACTAGATGGCCGGATGGTTCAACAGATACTACTAGATGGCCGGATGGTTCAACAGATACTACTAGATGGCCGGATGGTTCAACAGATACTACTAGATGGCCGGATGGTTCAACAGATACTACTAGATGGCCAGATGGTTCAACAGATACTACTAGATGGCCAGATGGTTCAACAGATACTACTAGATGGCCAGATGGTTCAACAGATACTACTAGATGGCCGGATGGTTCAACAGATACTACTAGATGGCCGGATGGTTCAACAGATACTACTAGATGGCCGGATGGTTCAACAGATACTACTAGATGGCCGGATGGTTCAACAGATACTACTAGATGGCCGGATGGTTCAACAGATACTACTAGATGGCCGGATGGTTCAACAGATACTACTAGATGGCCGGATGGTTCAACAGATACTACTAGATGGCCGGATGGTTCAACAGATACTACTAGATGGCCGGATGGTTCAACAGATACTACTAGATGGCCGGATGGTTCAACAGATACTACTAGATGGCCGGATGGTTCAACAGATACTACTAGATGGCCGGATGGTTCAACAGATACTACTAGATGGCCGGATGGTTCAACAGATACTACTAGATGGCCAGATGGTTCAAGAGATACTACTAGATGGCCAGATGGTTCAAGAGATACTACTAGATGGCCAGATGGTTCAAGAGATACTACTAGATGGCCAGATGGTTCAAGAGATACTACTAGATGGCCAGATGGTTCAACAGATACTACTAGATGGCCAGATGGTTCAACAGATACTACTAGATGGCCAGATGGTTCAAGAGATACTACTAGATGGCCAGATGGTTCAACAGATACTACTAGATGGCCAGATGGTTCAACAGATACTACTAGATGGCCAGATGGTTCAACAGATACTACTAGATGGCCAGATGGTTCAACAGATACTACTAGATGGCCAGATGGTTCAACAGATACTACTAGATGGCCAGATGGTTCAACAGATACTACTAGATGGCCAGATGGTTCAACAGATACTACTAGATGGCCAGATGGTTCAACAGATACTACTAGATGGCCAGATGGTTCAACAGATACTACTAGATGGCCAGATGGTTCAACAGATACTACTAGATGGCCAGATGGTTCAACAGATACTACTAGATGGCCAGATGGTTCAACAGATACTACTAGATGGCCAGATGGTTCAACAGATACTACTAGATGGCCAGATGGTTCAACAGATACTACTAGATGGCCAGATGGTTCAACAGATACTACTAGATGGCCAGATGGTTCAACAGATACTACTAGATGGCCAGAGTGCACAAAACGAGCAAGAGACAAAGCCAAACAATTTATGTATACAAACAACCCTGAAACAAATACTCAATAGTGAGAAGGAAGGAGAAAAATAAATTTTGAGAAGGGAATAGTGAACAAATGTAAAATCTGAACAAGCCTATTCTATAAATTCATTAAAAATAAACTATGTAAAATATAAGGTCCAGAGGTTAAGAATGGGCAACAGCTTCACTGACAGAAGGAATTGTTTGAAGCTCTAAATTAACAGTTTCAGTGTGATCATGCAAAATGAGGTTTTCATATCACCAGGTACACTTTAAAGCATACCCTAGAGCAGGGGTTGGGAACCTTTCATCATATGAAAACTATATTTTTCTTAGGAAAGATTTCATAAGGCCACACATTGTATTATGCATTGTATGCGTTAAAATATAGCGACACCTTGACTCACGATTGCCCCTACTTACGATATTTTTGAGTTACAATGTAAATTTGGTTGGAAAATGCGACTCGACTTACAATCGTGTCTTGACTAATGATAATCGTTGATACGCGTTCGGGCCAACCGAGCGCATGGTTCCTGGTGGCACAGGCCGACTTGCCTCAGTTTGCCAGTCGCCCGCTTAGTGATGATCACAAGTGTAAGAAATTCCATTATTTTGGTGATTTTTTTTGTTTTTTGAATGTAAAAGTAATTATTATATATCATGCCATGGGTTCAAAGAAAGTCAGCGGTAAGGTTCAACATACAAAAACACATGCAAAGATGACCATAGAGGAAAAACAAGAGATCATTTGTAAACATGAAGATGGTGTGTGGACATGTGTGCGAATCTCCATGGACAAATTTTTTGTGAGAAACAAGCAGTGAACCACAACCAGGTCCTAGTGGTATGCAGGCAAAATGTAGGAAAGAGTGTACTCCAGAGAAGTCATCACTGCCTGATGTTATAATGGAAGGGGACTCCCCTTCCAAACAGTAACACCTCTCCCCCTCCTCCCCTCCTCCTCACCATCTTCCATATGACAACAGCAGTCATCAGCAAGGGTAAGTAATAACTTGAACATACTTTTGTAGTGTAGATTTAGATGAATTAGGTATAAAATTTAGTTTGAAGTGAGGTTTTTGGGTAGTCAGGAACGGATTAATTCATTTCCCATTATTTCTAAGGGGGAAATTAGCTTCGGTTTATGAGTTTACGGATTACGAGCTGTCTCCAGGAACGGATTAAACTCTTAAACCGAGGTACCCCTGTATATACAACAATCAAATCACACTATTGAACGAAAAAGCAATGTAAAGCATCTTGGAGTAATCATGGCAAAAGACCTTACTTTAACCACTGCACAGCTACGTGAAGAGGAATATCAGGCACAGCTACATGAAGAGGAATATCAGGCACAGCAACGTGAAGAGGAATATCAGGCACAGCAACGTATAGAGGAATACAGTGGGGCCTCAATTTACGAATTTAATCCGTTCCCAGAGATGGGTCGTACGTCGAAAATTCGTAAGTTGAAACAAATTTTCCCATAAGAAATAATGTAAATTAAATTAATCCGTTCCACACCCCCAAAAATATTAACTTAAAAAAATATTTTATACCAAATAACACTGCAATACAGTATGTATAGCTTACCTTGAATGAGGACTTTTGTTGGCATATGATAGATGGTGAGGAAGAGGGGAGGAGGAGGAGGTGTTAATCTTTGGAAGGGGAGTCCCCTTTCATTATAACATCAGGCAGTGATGACTTTTCTGGGGTAGTCTCTCTCTTCCCCTACGTTTTGCCTCCATACCACTAGAATCTGCTGGGGCTCACTGCTTGTTTTTTTCACTAAAAACCTATCTAGCGACACTTGGTTTTTCTCTGTTATAATACTTGTTTGAAGTAAGACATCACAGTGTCATTAAAAAGGTTAACACAACAGCCTGCTACAGTTTGATTTGGGTGATACTTTTCAGCAAAACTTTGCAATTCTTCCCATACTGCACACATTTTCTTAAATGTGGAAGGGACATCCTCTACTCTACATCAACATCCTTCATACCATTTTCATATTTATGAATGATCTCTTTTTTTTTCCTCTATGGTCATCCTCACATGTGTTTTTTCAGGTTGAACCTTACCACTGACTTTCTTGGGACACATGGCATGATATATAATAATTACTTTCATGTTAAATAACAAAAAAAGCACCAAAATAATTAAATTCTTTACAAGTGCGATCATCACTAAGCAGGCGACTCCGGTAAACTGAGGTGGAGTCAGCTGTGCCAACAGGAACAAGTGCTCGGTCGACCCAAATGCGCATGAGCAAAAGTCTTTAGTCAACGACATGGTTGCAAGTCAAGTCGCATTTTCGAATAAAATTTACATCTTGACTCAAAAAATTCACAAGTAGGGACAAGCGTAAGTCAAGGTGTCACTATATCAGGCACAGCAGCGTGAAGAGGAATATTAGGCACAGCAACGTGAAGAGGAATATCAGGCACAGCAACGTGCAAAGAAAGAATTCCTAGTAAAGATGAAGTGTGGCATTGCTGTCAAAAGTACTGGACTCTTGTTTGCAGGCCAAGATCTTTACGGTTCGCATAGTTCATGTTAAGCCTTACCCATTAGTTTTCCATGTAACATGACCTGCAATCAGTTTACAACTGAAATACTGCAGGGTGAACAGAGGCTAACAGTTAATTAGTGCACTGACAATCCTCCCTGGCCAGGACTCAAACCTAAACGAATCGCTCACGAGGCACGGGGCAATACAAAACAGATCAAGTGTTACTACTGGGCCAGCAGGGACTACTGTTGCAATATCTTTGCAGAAAGAACTGTAAAAAAGTACAAGGACTGCATTATGGGGATTACTTTGAGCCTTGAGAGAACCATAAAAGATAGTAAAAAATATGAAAATACAAAGAGATAAATATCTTCCAAGAGGTGGCAGATTTTTCTCACAGACTGAGTTCATAGCTGCTAATAATGGAAGACTTCAATCATGGCCATATAGCCTTACAAACAATGGACACAAGAGAGAAGCAATAGGGAAAATTCCCACAGCTAGCCAAAATTATATGTAAAGAAGCAGTGAAGTACTAAAACATGATCTCTTCTTTATTCTGGACTTGTGGAAGTGTCAACTTATATCTAGACATGCATCTAAATCCTTTTCTAAGAAGGAAAACCATATATAAATGTGTGTAAATCCACACAATAATATTAGGTGGGATGCATGTAAAAAAATGACTACCCTAGATATGCAAAAATTATGTTCGTCAAGATGCTTCTCAGAGTAAATGAATAATGACTAGCCCAGAAATATAATACTCTTTTTCCATTGGTAAATTAAAAATATATAATGCATAATTTATGTGGATCTCAATAATAATAGTCCATGAAGTATATTAATTTTATGAGTGTTACTGTCAGTCTCATCAAGTTAAACAGTACACCAATAGCTAGAACGCCTTACTCTTCTGATAATCTTAGATGAATTATGCAAATAGCCATTAATATAAGCAGATGGCTGTTACCAGTAAATGTGTAACCAGCCAGAGAAATTCATTCCTGGCAACCCCTTGAGGGGGGTATGAAGGTAGGGAAAAAACTGATTTCAGTAATAGCCATGTCAATCATTGAATATTATCTCAAACCATTCCTAACTATCCCATCACACCCAGAAAATTCTATTGTAGTAATGAGGGAAGAACATGATAACTACAGTTGGATATTCAACCCAAGATGATGGCATCTGGGATCAGACTAAAAAATATTAACCAACTAACAGTGATAATCCACATGACTTGGTAATGGTCCAGGATAGACCAAAACATCATTACTTTATCTATAACTACTGTAATACCTCTATTTACATTCAAGATGCATTTTGGGAAATCTAAACTTATTTTCCTGAAAAAGATAAATTATGTTGTAGTATTCTAAAATCATTGAAATATAGTAACATACAGTAAATGTACAATACATTTGTTCTTGCTAAATATAACAGCAGAGAGTATGTATTGGAGTTTGGTGTAGGGGTGAAGGCTACTTGAACAGTTGAAGCAGAGTTGAAGACAGTTGCCTTTTCATCCGCGAGAGAAATACCTTTTTGTTAGCGGTTCACAGGGTTCCTTGCAGGGATTGTTGCTGGTTAACTTCCCAAGCTCTTTTGTTATGTTTCTTATATGACAAAGATTATATACTTTTCTGCTGTTCCCGAAATTCTCTTTAATGGTACAGATGAAAAGTCACAATAACGTAGCTGAAAAATTTTGACCAAACCACACACTAGTAAATTGAAGAGACGACAATGTTTCGGTCCGTCCTGGACCATTATCAAGTCAATTGTGGTCCAGGCTAGACCGCAACGTCGTTGTCTCTTCAATTTCTAGTGTGTGGTTTGGTCATCAATATCTTTTATGGTGTTTGATCAATTCAGCTATGTCAGCATTATCAATTTCATCACATCCATTTTATAATACAATACATAATATATTTTTTTCAAATCTTAAACATACTGTACCTATTTAGAAATTAATAACAACAGTAATTTATGGGGTGTAAATCAATATGGCGAATCATGACTTGGAGGGATGACAGTACAAATAGCTAACAACATAGTTGTCAAAAACAAATACCTTTTGTCAGTAAACTGTATAGTATTTAATTTCACTTGTAGCTGCATTCTTGAACATTTTGCAGACATGCAGTAATATTAGGAATGATATACATTAAATCTATTTTTGATAAATTTTCTTTATACAGAATGTGAATGGCGATGGCAGTATAGTCATTGGAGAACCCCAAGCAGGCAGCAGTGGCCTTGCTTCTGCAACATTACGCATCCCTAGGGACAAGATGACTATGTTGTTAGCTGGTAATGGGGGAATAAATGCTGATGGCCAGTTGATGTGCTCCAAACTGAGATTAGTGACTGGAAACCACAGTGCCCTCATGCAAGCTGGCCATTTTGCATTCAAACTGGCTACTAACCCAAATGGGCAGTCTGGCCAAGGCTTGGTGAGGCGAGGACGGCGACAGGACCCACTTTTGCTGATGGATCCCGAGACTACTATTCCCAACCTGCTGGATCTGACACAGCAAGACTATGAGGTTAATGCTCCAGCCAGTAATTGTACTTTGCTGCAGGGGGCAGACTTACTCATGGCACTTGACCAGAGCCTTTAATATTTACTTTTGTGGATCTGACAGTAAGTAATGGTGAGGGAAAAATCAATGTTAAGAATTTCCTTCTTAACCTTTGAATCAATTGAATCAAAATATAATTTTTTATCAACAATGAAAAAAGCCCCTGCCACTGGCTACTTTTGGATGTAATGTAACTGTAGTAAAAATGCTAAAGTTTTCCCTTATTGATATTTGCTGTCTAATATCTTATTTATGAGGTTTGGGACTATTGGATTCCCATTATATTTTTATCTTCAATTGGGTTTGAAATTATTAATGTTATCATGATCAACATTATTATTATTATTTTTATTATTTTGGAAATGACAATTGCCACCCCCACCCTATTGAAAATGGGAAATGGGATAACAATGAAAATGGAAATAACAATTTACTAAAATTAGTCATATAACTGTCATATTTGTAATATGAATATAGATTTTTTTTTTTTTTACTACAGTGAACATACTTTCTTGCCTTCACCAGCTCAGTCTGACTTCACAATACACTATTTGTTTTTACTAGGGCAGTAAATGAAAGTTTGTAATATATATGGAGAGTTATTTTATTGAAATTTCATAAGTACAAAATCCTATATTCATGTATTTGTACATGCACACACACACTAAACATTCTGTCTCTCTCTCTCTTTCTCTCTCTCTCACACACATTCTCTCACATTCTCTCTCTCATTCTCTCTCTCTCATATACTGTACTTACATTATATATGTACTATACTGTACTTGTATACAGGAAAATAAACATAGACTTTATCAGCTCAGTGGTTAAAATACTGACCTTCATTTTTAAGATCCTTTGTTTAAGTTCAGTATGAGGAAAATGAGAACCAATTCAACTAACATAAGAAAGCTGAAGCTCCCAAGTCTTAGTTGTTGCATGGCTCTAGGTCACACATTTCTTGGTTCTCGATATCACTAATGGCTATGGAGAGAGAAATTAACAGCATTTCGGGTAACAAGCGAGCCACTTGCAGAACATTTGTCTCTACTAACAAGCTTTTCCTCGATTAACGAGCGTTTCCGCTGGTTCTCGGACACCTTTTACGACAGTTTTGTTGTTGTTTCGCAAGACGAGTTTTCCACATGATGAGCTTGGTGCCGGAACGGATTAAACTCATTAATCGAGGTGCCACTGTAGCATACACTCATTTTAAAGACTACCAATTTATCAAATCTCTGGACATAATAGCCCGCTCTGAGACCAGCGTTTGGTTTTGATTTACCTACTAACCATTCAGTAAAAAAAGTGGATGGCCCACTAATGAAAATACTGTACTCACCGCTCAATATAAACAGCGATGAGGACCAATTACGAGTTGGTTGTGGCAATACTTGCTTGGGAGTACCAGCACTTGACTGAAGTAACTGTGGGAATGCTTGGCAGGAGTGACTGGGTGTAATTACATTAGTTACAGGATAAGATCCATGCTTGTGGTGTTGTGTCTTCCCTATAATCTTTGTCATATAATGCTTTCAAACTAGTGATGGTTTTGGCTTCTACCATTTTCTCACTTAAATTGTTACAACCACCTACAACCTTGCTAGCAAGAAGAAAACTTTTGGCACCCTTATTTCCTTGGTTAAAATCTATGGACTCTTGTTCTTGAATATGCAGGTTTAAAAATTTCTGCTTGTCAACTGTGCTGATTCCAGACACTATTTTTTACACGTGATGAGATCCTATCACTTTAGTCTTTCCATCTTCTTGCTTTATTATATATATAAAGCCTGTAGCCTCTTCTCATAGCTCTTGTTTTTTTTTTTTTTTAGTTTCGAGCCATTTAGCAACATGTTTTTGCAGCCTTTCTAGTTTACTGATGTTTTTTCCAGGAAGAACATCAGTAAATATCAGTTGTGTGGTGTATTTCAAGAAGACACCACACACACATTCTAATTTTGGTCTCAGGAACGTAGTGAACAATTCCTTGGTCTTTTTTCATTCATACATTTAAACGTGATTCTGAAATTTTCTGGCGTAGGCTTGTCTTGACACCTTTGATTTGATCTTCTGGTGAAAGTTTACTATCCAGAATCACCTCTAGATCTCTGTCAGTGTTTTAGTATCTTTTCATCATTTATAGGTTGAGTTTGGCCTGTTTTTCCCTATTCCACATCCCATTATGTGGCATTTATTCACACTAAATACCATTTGCCATGTGTTGCTCCATTCACATTTTGTCTAGGTCCTTTTGAAGGGTATGGCTGTCATGAGTCTTTTACTCTCTCTAGTGTCTTATTATTTGCTAACATTCATATAGCTCTGAATTCCCTCTAGTAGAATGTTTATATGGACAATGAATATTACTGGTGCAAGATCTGTAGTACTTCACTAGTGACTTTTTTCCAATCTGATGCATTACCTCTGATTACTACTCTCATTCTTAAGTCCATCAGAATCTTGTTCATTGAAGTCGGTACTCTGCCTCTCGTCCCCCTCCTCTATATTCTAGCTTCCAGAACAGTTTATGTCAAAGGCCTTTTTTTTTTTTTTAGGCCCAGATAGATGCAGTTGCCAACAACTTGCTCACTCTTGAAAGATTTCTATGGCTATCATGAAAGCTACGAAGATTTATTACTTAAGACTTACCCGTTTGAAAACAATACTCTCTGTCCATTATGTAATTTTTTCAGGTATTCTACCCATTTTATTTTAAATACTTTTCTACCAAGTTTACTACCACACTTGACAATGGTACCTGTATAATTTAGAGGATTCTCTCCATTTCCATTTTTATAGACTGTCACCATTTACTTTACAAATGTCTTCAAGGTTTTCTGTTCATATGGATGTTTGGAAAATAATGTGTAGTGGGGGCACTAATCTCAAATGTGCATGCCCTTAGAACCGACAAGACTCCATCTGGTCCAACTGCTTTATTTGTCTAGTTCTTTGAGCAGTTTTTTATACTTCACCTGTATATACAGTGGTACCTCGCATAACGATCGCCCCAAAAGACGAACATTTTGGGTAGCGAACGGCCCGATCGGCGTCAAATCGTCCCGTATGACGAATGCTGGTTTGAGTAACGTCAACACCACATGGTGGGGTCGCGCTGCTTCTTGCACATTCTTAGACGCCTCCGACGATGCACATCAATTATGTTGTTCTTGTTTAAAGATGCTAATGATGCTGGGATATAAAAGGGTGACTGCTGAGATGTTGCAAAGCATTGACGTTTTTATAGGAAAAAAAAAATGAAATGTCTGATGTACAACAAATGTCAAAAAGGTTCGTTCGGTGTTCGGCAGGTAGGCTGCTCCATTATAACAATCTTTCTTTGTTTCAAATGTGTTCCATTTGTTTTGTATTTGTCATTTACGTCTCAATAATGGAGAAGCCTACCTTACATACACTGAATAAACCATTATGACATTTTCCTTTCTTCAAATGTGTTCAATATTTATTTTTCATTTGTCTTATAGCAAAAGGTTCGTTCGGTGGTCGGCAGGTAGGCTGCTCCATGTTTCTTACATACAAAAAACGTAAATAATAAAAAAATGAAGAATTTTGAAAACCAGTACAAATGTCAAAAAGGTTCGTTCGGTGGTCTACAGGTCGGCTGCTCCATGTTTCTTAAATAAAAAAAAACGAAAAATAAAAGAACTGTTGAAACAATTTGAAAAATGGATAAATGCTATAAAGGTTCGTTCAGTGTGTGTCGGGTAGGCTGCTCCATTATTGAGACGTAAGTGACAAATACAAAACAAATGGAACACATTTGAAACAAAGAAAGATTGTCATAATGGAGCAGCCTACCCAACAAACACTGAACGAACCTTTTGCTATAACGAATATGAAAGACGAGGGCTACTGGCTGGGTTAGTACTGCGTGAGCAACCATTTGTGTAGCACACGTGCCTCTGGCTCTCAAACACCTGTCCCACACGGTGTTGAAAGACTGCGCTCAATCGGTGCAATTCAGACCCTATTGTTTGAAGAACATATGGGTCATAACATTGGTGAAGCTAGGCGCAATAAGGGCTTAACACAACGGTCGGATGCCAGTGATACAGCACCTATGAGGATGATACAGCGAGCGTATCCAGGTGTAGCTCTGAGCCCCACCCTTGCCATCTCGAATTTATATAGATGATACATAGATGAAACGTTTTCTGCAGTGATGATGCATCTGATACAAGTAGCATAGATGAAGTGTTAGCGGCTTCCATGGTGGTGGTGTTCATTGATATTTTCAAGAATACCTGAATCTCTTCCTGACTGATGGACACTCTTTGAGGCTAGCTGAATCTCTTCCTGACTGATGGACACTCTTTGAGGCTAGCTGAATCTCTTCCTGTATGGGACCTTACAAAGCGATCTTTTCAAGACTACCTTACAAATTGAGCTTTTCCTATAATCGTTTCAATACTACCTTATGCTTTACAAGCTTGGCTACATACCACCTACAAGTACTAAAGCCAAGGGTGCACACGAGTGCGTTATTTGCAAGCACACAGAACGATGAAACAGGAAACGAAAATCTATCTGTAGCTGGTGTGAGGAGAGCAAAGTCACGCTGTGTACCATGGACTACTTCGTTGACTATTACGCACCTCCAAAGTACTGAGTGTGTAATACAGTGTGTTACTGTGTAAATAGTATGTGAAACTGTACATATTGTAATTTTAGTGAATTTTTACCACGTAATATTGTGACTAAACATTTATTGTGGACACATTACTGACACATGTATCACAGTTCTATGGAAAATTATGAACATTCTACTGTATACATATTGTAAAGGTCACAAATATGCATCATATACGATAAAAGAAACAAATAAAACCGCATTGGAAATGCATAGAAAAAATATTTGAAAATATATTTGTGGCAACACGCGGTGCTTGAATGGCCTGCGCGACCGTGTCTGGGAGCTTCACACATGGGCCACCAGTCCCTGATGA